TTTAAAGCAGAGACTCATCAAAATCTTTTTTTTCATTAGAGCTTTGCAGTCTTGGGATTAAAATGTCACTAGTGACTTATAAGAAGCAAAAACCAAATTAAAGGCCAATTTCTTTCCCTACCAAATTATTATCTATGAGTGTAAAAGAAAGTACCTAGGCAAGACCAAGGGTGAGACAATTTTATTTGTCTTACTGACAGTGAAAGTCTAATTAGACTGACAAATCTTCTGTGCTATTTTCCTTTGTGATATACACTGTAAGGAAGGATTTAGCCTGGAGCTGCACGTTATGGAAAGACATTAATCAAGATTATTGGACACTCAACAGAAAACACAGTTAGAAGGCTGAAAAGCTCAATGGTTAAAAATAAAGGTTGAGAACCTTATTCTAAGCCACAGCAATGGGCTGGACTCCCCATATAGATAATGGCAAGATCCCCTCTTCTACTCTCTAGAGAGAACAGTCTGCATATAATAAGTCATGAACTGTCACTCTATGGCTCTAAAATCATAGATCAAAATGTCCACATGTAATTTATTCTTGTCACCTACAAGTTATAGTTTGAACAGTTAGGCAAGTGTCATTTTCTGCATCTCAAGAACTTGAGGTATGCCCTGGATATGTAAGAGAGCACTCACTTTCTAGTTCCTCATGGAGAGCATAAGTTCATCTCTTTTTCCAAAACGATTCTGATCTCTTTTTCACAGAAAGATGTTTTATTCTTGGGTCCTCAGCCACCCATGCCATAGGCCAGACATATGAGGGGCCTGCTTTCAGGCCTCCAGGATGTTACCTGGTTCTCCACTTGGATTTGATGAACTGAGTATGTTTTGAATGGAAGATGTGTACAGTGCATGATCTCTAGACTAGCTTTAGTGATTAACTTTGCACAAATTCTTTGAAAACTGAATGACCCAGCTGTAAACAAAGATAGAATGAGCCACATAAAAGCATATGGAGAGTCTCCTAAAAAGCTTTGACCAGTGACTCATAAAAGAGAATTCTGACCACTCAAGCAGCTGCCATGGAAGCAGAAGACAAGAGAATTAGTGTTACTTTAACCTGTGTTCACAGAGGTCTCCCAAACCAAAAATATCCCCGAAGTACTTAATTAATAACGGAATTTTCTCTTTAAATAAACAAATAGGGACAAATAGGGGTTCCAGGACCTCTAACTAATGAAGCAACCCTGTGAGAAGCATGACAACCTTCCAAGAATGCAGTGTGGCTCAGCACAGTGACTCTCATGCAGAAGCAGTCTGCATGGCATCTTACTGTACCGCACAGAAAAGCCAGCAGCTTGTCTTTCAGGCCTTTGTGGCTAACGTGGCAAAGCAGAAGTCTCTGAGAGGATATTAGTGTCACAGGAGGGTCTGATGTGTAAGGGTCCTCAGAGGCAGCAAAAAATTTGTACAGCACATGCCACTTCTGAACAGTTTGTAAAATCCAGGACAAAACCATGTGTGAGAAAGTTAAACCAGTGCTGCTTCTTGTGGCAGTGGAGCAAAAGCACCACTTGCAACTCACTGAAACAACCACAAGTCAAAACTTTTTCTCCCTTTTCAGTTAGCAAAAAAAACCAGCTCTTGTTATTTCCTTCTCTGAATCACAGGAACAATCCCAGCAGTATAGCACACAGCCATATATCTCACCTTTTCCTCACTCAAATCCTAGCTGTCCTACTTTGACTTGAGTTCTACTGCCTTGCAGAAATTTAGTATAAATTTATAGGTATTTTAGATGTTAATTTCAGTGCCACTGGGTATTTCCAGCAATATTTTTCCCTCAATTCCCTTTATCATGGTTGTTTCTCCAAAACTACATACCATATCTGAGATCTTCAAAAGTTGATGGATATCATAGGCCTGAAAATGCACTGTGTATTTCTAAACCTCATTTTCCCAGCTTTTTTTTCTAACTATGTTCTAAAATACTTCTGTCAGTACTCAGACTACCTAACTGCAGGAGGTGTCTTAGTGTGCATTACAAACAAAAATATCTTTGCACTTATCATGTTCTTCTGTAGTTTCTTAACAAGTGATGTGTAAGTCTAAGTCCCTCTGAAATTCCCCTGGATTTTGTAACACTTTGTGATTACTGGCTTGATATTCTGCACAAGGTTTATATACATTTCAAAAAGGAATAGTTTAAGTTACTTACATATGAAAATGAGTAATAAAATACTCCTAACAGAGTAAGAACAGTAATTCTTTATCATGATTCGTGCTATTTCACATTAGATGCTTCACTTTTATTTGTATCATGCCTGGTATTTCTACAATTGGCCAGAAGCATTCTGTGCCAAGTAATGTACATGTGCAGAATAAAAAGTACATTTTGAACCCAAGGAGTCTGCAGTCTTAGCATAAAACAAGATACTACACATGGATACAGAAACATGCATAATAAAACTAAAAAGTGACCACATTGATTGACTTAATAAGCAGTTGTCTTAGACCATCATCAGCCTAACTTTTTGACATGCATCATGATGACAAAAAACTTTCAATGGGATTGGAAAAATAACCTGCTATTGGCTTTTTTATGGTATCAGATGAAACCTAAGAAGTGAACAAAAAGTGCTTGAATTGTGCTGATCGGAATCATAAGAGGCTAAACTTTAAACAGCCATGAAAGCAAAGAATAACTGTTTATTTCTGAGCAGAAAAGAGAAGAAAAAGCTGGAACAAGATAATAACTAACTGCATTTGTACCTCTCATAGCCTTAGGTATCTATATTTTATGTTTCCCAAAGAGTAAACTTGCTAACCACCACTTAGATCTAAAATTGTAAGCAGGCTTAACGATGGCGATGTCGAACACAAGAAAGATAAAATAACTATTAGACACCTGAAAAACTGTGGCTGTAGATACTGCCCAAACAGGAAAAGACAATTTCTTCTCACTTTCACCACACAGATACTGCAACTTAAGGAGACAGAATCAAATTCCACCAAAAATAAGGAAGAAAGCCAAGCTATCTCTGCTGCAACAGCGATAAAATGGCCCAATATTGAAATGCAGAAAGTTGTAATGGAGGTATGTATTGACCTTTATTTTTCTTTCAGCGGGTAGCATGAAGTGTCAAAGAGTTATTGCTTTAATATCAGCTGAGATGAGGCCATTTGTTGTGGTGCGTGTGTATCCAGGAAATCGCTGCTCTAACCATGTTTTTAGAAGCACTTTGACACTTTATTAAATCTTCTTGATGGTCTTTCAGCACACAGTGGTCTCTGTAGGCTGAGTGGACTGCCACGTAGGCTAGGCAGGAAGCTTTCAGAATGAGTTCCTTTTCAAGCAAGCCAGCACCATTTCCAGCTTGACCCAGCCCATAAAGGTCCAGTGCCACATTCTGTCTACTGGCATAGCTAAACACAGTTCTGCTGCCTTTAAAAATTATAGAGTGCAGGATAAGAACCACAGACTTTATTGTTCTGGAGATGTAACTGTACAAATATTTGCTCTAAAATTAGAACTAGTTACTGCGTAGAAGGAACTGTAGTTCTTGCGAAGTTTATGACAAATAGTGACCAAATATGGGGTAATTTCCCCTCATTTAGCTGAGACTTTATAAAATCACCTACTGGGTGTTTGAGGCTAATAACTCAATCCCAGTCCTGTTGCCGTCTGGATTTACAGCGTACCAAAGCAGGCACTGTTAAACCTCAGCTTGGAATTAATTACTCTAATAGTTTTAAATTCCACTGCAGCCAGACATACCTCACAGAATCACAGAATAGCTGTGGTTGGAATGGACCTCTGGATGTCATCTAGTCCAAACCTCTGGTCAACTAGGATCATGCAGAGTCAGCTGTCCGGGACTATGGGCAGAGGGCTTTTGAATTTTAACAGCATGGAGTCCACAACCTTTTGGGGCAACCTGTGCCCATGATCAGTCACCCTCATGTTACAAATTTTTCCTGATGATTAGAGGGAAAGTCCTGTGTTTCAGTCTGTGCCAAGTATCTTTGGTCCTGTCACAGGGCACCACTGTCATCTTTACACTCTTCTTTCAGGTATCTGTACACAGAGTTAAGATCCTCCCACAGGCCTTCTCTTTTCAAGGATGAACAGTCCCAGCTCTCAGCCTTTCCGCACACAAGAAATGCTCCAGTCCCTTACTCATCTTAGAGACCCTTAGCTAGAGCATCTCCAGTAACCCCATCTCTCTAATGCATTCAGAACACATTTCATTCTAGTTAATAACACAATAACATGATAGAATACTGCTGAAATTAATAATCCACAGCTCAGATTGGTTAGTCACATAATTTTTTTTCTTTGCACAGACATGAAGAGTCAATTAAAGGTGTTTATTTCTAGTAAGTACCATATTCTGGCTGCCACAAATGTGGTTCCAAAACCACTGCATTTTAAGGGTTGAAATAATTACTTTGGCACAATTAAGTCACATAATCTGGAATTAATTTTTTTATTTAGGAATAATTTTTTACCAAATAGATGGGGACTGCTCTATGTTGGAACATCTACGTTTTACAAGAAACTGATCTTGATAGAATTCTTTCTAAATTCTCTGCAGGAAGGCTATAAAAGGGAAATAAAAAATGACTCCAAATGAAAGTAATGCTCCATTGCTTTTCTCCTCATTATGAACTTCACTATTGCAGCAGTTCATCCTGTCATAATAATAAATAACCATACACCCACCTCCCATTAAGCCTGTAATTCTCTTTGGAATACATTTCCCCACATATGGAACTTTTGAAACATATTTAAAACCTTGTTCTTGTTCACATTGTGACAATCTCACACAAATCGGATTGCACTAGAACAGGAGCAAAATCCACTCCCATTCTTAAATGTATGTGCCACAACAATTCAGCCAGCAGTTTGTCCTGTGTCTAACACAAGAGGACAACATTTTTAAAATAAAGAGTTACATGGAGCATTATTCAGAGAACAGAGCTCCTATGAACTTACAAATAAGCAGCAAGACAAATTAAGAACTGAAGGAAATTGAGAGGACTACTTGACTCACCTGGATGCTGGGCGGGGAACGATTTTTACGGGTGGTAGTGGTTGCCATCGTGGTTGTTGTTTCCATAACTGTAGTCGACATTTCTGGTGGCACCGATGTTGTGGGCGTTGTTCCTAAGATGGAAGGGACTTCCCCAACGAGTCGGACGCTTCCATTGATTTTAATGTTGGGGTTGTTCTCTGCCGCCATGTTCAGCACTTTCAGGCCATTGTAATAGAGCCCGGAGAGCTGGCCTTGGAAGAGACGCCCTCTGTCCTTCCCTCCTATGGCTATTTGCGCCTGGGTGTTGAAGATCGTTAACTGTCGTCCTAGTGAAGGGGGGTGAATAACATTATTGACAGACATTTCCTTCCATTTGCATACAACATTGAGCCCCGGCGCGAAGTGATGGACAAAGAAGTAGATTCATTCTTGGGAGTGTATATGATGACTGTAGAGAAACAGTATGGAAATGTGGTGCCTAAAAGTCATTAATAAGGATGATTAGCCTGGAAGTATGAATACCTGAAACTGAACCTTATACCTCAGCATCCACTCACACATCAAAACTCGGGAGAATCTTCAGAAATTTGAACTTGTTCTTTTAGGATTGGATGAATTTTAAACTAAAAATAGGACTTCAATGTGTGGCTATTTTTCTACTATCAATTCAGACTGCAGTACCTCTCAAGCTTTAGCCCATAAATAAACCTCCTTTGGACCAGCTAAAGCATTGGATTAACTCATAAAACCACTTTTAATAATGCCAAGGGTTGACTCAAAACAGTAAAACAGGTAAAAATAAAGTGAAATAAGAATAGGAGTGTTATGACAGGATCAGTCATGATTTTTCACCTGTAAACTTTGTGTTGTGAAGGCTTGCAAATCTAAACCCAAGAAAGAACAAACACAAATAATTCTGATGTCTCTGAAAGAGCAAAGCTTTTGAAATAGTGAGGATAACAGTGCTTCAGATGCTTTCACTCTTACAGACAGTGAAATTCAAATGTAAGCAGGATTATATAGTTTAGCTGAGGTCACATCTTGAGTATTAGAAGTCCAATATCATATGTAATAAAAATTATAATTATTAAAAATAAATCTAGTAACAATTGCCAATTCACCTAGTTCTGCAGGACACTTAGATCACATTCAGCCTGGACTGCTATATAAATACTGTTTATGTCCCAGGCTACACTATGCTGACCATGTCAAGAAATAAATTGCTTCACAAAGTGCAAAGGCAGTTCCTATAATTTCACTGTTCCTCAAAAGATTAGGGGCATGCCACCTGAAATCTGCTGAATTAACAGACAACTAGACTGGACATTGCAGTTTCAAGTCAAACATCATTTAAATATCTTGTGCTTTCCCATTTTTATGAAATTTGAAATCTGTTTTCCAATCCCATTCCCACTGCCCAGGTCTCACTTGACACTTTCTGTCTAGTCCAGCCTGATGAGAGGTGCAGAATGCCACCATGTAAGGAAAGCACAACCTATGATCCACTGCTCATTCCTTCAAAGCCAGTGGTTAGAGGAGATCAAAATACATGGGGGAGCTCACCAATTTTAGTCGTCGTGGCAGGTCTCGAAGTCAAGTGGTGATGCGGTGTAGCATCATCTTATGGTGACAGGATGGACCATGGGGAAGAGAATGGGGACAAGAGAAGAAATGTATCTGAAAGTAGTTCCTGTCCCCAATGAGGGCCCTAGCTAACTAAGCAACAGTATATGGAGAGGTGTGACACACAGACATATGGAGGTGGGCTGCACATCCCTTGTGCTCCTCACTCTCAGGTATGTAAATGGAAAATCAGGATTTGGTCAGGGTGGAGTAAGTGCATTGATGAAGAAATGAGAAATAAAAATAGGGGATATCCTTCCCCTGGAAAGTGTTGAAACACCTGATGCAATGTTCTGCATCTCAGGAGGTTTTAACTTGCCAGAGGCAACATATGTCTATTAAAACATCAATAAACATGCACTGAAGCCACACATCCTAAGAATGTAAATAGAGCCTTTACTCTTGTCTATGACAAAAATAGGGCCCAGTAACAGACACTGATCCCTCTCAGCCCAGCTCCTGTCTGAATTAGAGGAAATGGCACTGTACACTGTAGACGGTCAAACTCCTATCCCATACCATGTCCTCAGAGCTTGCTTTTCTTTTCTGTCATGTTGTGCTTTGGATTTTATAAGGAATATGCTGAAAGAACTTTACTGTGCCGTTTTCCCTTCTCTGAATATGTTCTCTCCCTCTAGCACTATGGCTCTGTCCATATTGTCCCTGCCCCTACAAACCCAGACATGTCACTTGCTACTTTTCCCCTCTTCCCACCTCACTCATAGTAAGAGTGCCAAAGAGTAGAGGTAAGATGAGTAAAGAAGGGACTTATGAGTAAAGGGACTTAATTTTGAGATGTTATCCCTGAAAACAAATGGAAGATAACTGTCAGTTCAGTTTTCCATTTGCATTTCCATTCCTTTCTTCCCTTGAATTAGTTTAGTATCTCTTTTCATCTTTTGCCAAAGGGAAGAAGGTGGAAGGTGATAAAAAAGGAAAATTTTTTGCTGTTCCAGGTAGGAGAGCTCCCCAAACAAGGATAGGAGAAGGGTTCTCTCACTTTTACTGGAGGATTATGACTCAGCTCTAGATGTCAACTATTCTAACCCAAGATGATAACATAGCTTTACATATCAGTCATATCCCTTACATTATTTGCAAGAATGAATAGTAAGTATATTAAGCCTGAAAAAAGAGACTACGTCTCCAATTCTCGGCCTTCATCTGCATCTTCTAATGTTGAAAGAAAGTGTACACGAAGGAGATGACCCTTTTCCAAAAAAAAAAAAAAAAAAAAAAAAAATTTGATTGTGTATTTTGGAGTCTTCACTCTCAAATGGTTTTCCATATCAGGAGATCAGGATTCATGCACTGCATCATATGGTTAATGCTGGAAACCACATTAGAAATGTGTTTGCTAAAAGAACAATCACTGGTTGCAGTCACCTGCTACCTGTAATTCCTCATTATTTGCTCTAAGATGGTGTACACACTCATGGTAAAGATAAAGACACCAGGGAAATGAATATGGGATAAGAAAAGTCTTTGGAGAAAATATACATTTCCTTCTGCCACCATATATCGATTCTGATCATTCTTTGAATGGAATTTAGCTGAAGCTTTACTTCCCCCAAGTAAAATTTAGCTGGCCACTGGATTGTTATGAAGAACTATTTACATTAGTAAATTCTACTAGGTGCATAGTTTAATTTTGCAGTCCTTCTTTTTCACAGAGAACTCTTCCTACTGCGATATTAGTGTCATACTGAAGAAAAATTATGAGGTGTTTTGTAAGTATTATGAATAGTTCAGGTTCTTGTTTCTTTGTTCTCTCATAGTCTTCTTCATTTGAAAAACTGAATTCTAATTAATAATAGCACAGAGAAATCCAAAGTGTAACTTTACTGTAGCACTATAAGAGATTTTGGGCCTGATTTTGCAAATCCCAATTCATACTAATGATACGTGCTTCAAAAGTACAGTCATTTACATCAAGGACACTTTACAGGTAAGAAAGATTTGAATAATTAAGTACTTCTGGGATCAATCCTTTTGATGCAATGCTTCTGGGTCTCTATTAGCTCAACCAATTGCAGAACAGGTAAAATCTGTGCCTTAGCAGACACCAAATATTCTGCTAAGGAAATCTGCTGGATTTAGGACTACTGAAGTTGAACAATTTAAGACTAACACTTCTTTTTATATTCACATACATGATCTCAATGAAGTTAATAGCATTTAATATTTTGTTTATAACTCATGCAATTCCAGACTGTAAACCTGGGTTCTTAAAATTATTTTAAACCTATTTATATAATTTAAAAGCCCTTCAAAGCCAAGAGTGATGCCACTTCAGAAAGATAATGTGTTATATTTGTTTTCCAAGAATGAACTATTTCATTATTATGAATAACATAGCAATACCAAAGAAAGACCAAATCCATAGCATTCAAAAATGTCAATCAAAAAATGTTTCATCTTACCTCACCCAAGCCAAGAACTCACATGGGCAAGACAGCTATTCTAGATGCTGAATCTTTGATGAATCTATTCCTACAACCATCAGTTTGTTTTGTTCCATTTTGATACAAAGCTACCCTTTTACTCACCATCTTTAGAAAGTCTTCTGACAGAAGGTTTCCATGTTATATTAATTGTTAGATGGATGACCAGATGTATGAGCAGGCTGATGAACAGCTACATAAACTAGTCATTCTTATATTTTTTTAAATTTGAATGTTACCTGAGTTGCTGAAAATGTCTGTCTATTGGAATGAAGGAACCAAGTCATATTGTCTCAGGTGTTACACTGCACAATGTCATTCCCTGACACATAGTGGAAAGACTTAATTTCCTTTCACTTTAGTAAAAACATAGCTCTATCCTTCTAGCCTGACCACATCCAGTGCTTTAAGAATGCCTGAAGACTCAAATATCGTCTCTTTTAGACTCTAGTGCATGTGTGATTGTCTTTTAACAAAGCATCAATATCCACAAAAGGTAGACTTCAGTTCAAAACTTCAGAATGGATTACAAATGAAAGTATCTTGGCATGCTTTTAAGCTCAAATTTGTAGAGGCTGTGGCACAAAGTAAAAGATTTTGTGGAAAACCAAAAAGGAAAAAACAAAAAACCAACAAACCCACAATGAAACCAAAAGAAAAAAAAAGATGGGTTTCTCAAGCACATGAATTGCATAAAGGAATTAGACATGCATCTGTTATAACAAAATTGAGGCAATCATTGTCTTTAGTGTTAAAGGGACTTTAGCAATTCAGACTTACCAAAATTATTCTCTTTTTAGTGTTAAACTTTATTTATCTATTTTAGTTTGATCTTGTAAACTAATAGGGCAACCCTCTGAGACTCAATAAGCATTTTCTGTTTATTGTTATCTTCAAATTTATTTACAATTTAGCTGAATTAACTGTTTATGACATACTGGTGGTAAAAAAAAAAATCTATTTTGGTTATGCAAATATTTTTGCCTTACTTTCATTAGTACTTTAGCTTTAAACATTACACCTTTGTAGAACAAACCTGAAAAGTGAGCAACACTGCCAGCTCTTGTTGAAGTTAATAGGAACTGAGTGTGCACAAAATTTTGCAGCATAGAGCCCTTCACATGAAAATATTTTGACTGGATTTAGCCACATCCTTCCTGACCTTAATTCATACTGGATAAATCAATTTGTTAATTCAGCTGAGGTTAGAAATTTGAAACAGAACATAAATTATATTTTTTCAGTCCTACAAGAGACTGGTTTTCCTTTCTGGAAAATACGTTAACAACCACAGTCTAAATCAGCACAGAAAATGCAAGACCTGAGTTCAAAGGTCACCCCCTTTTATTAGCAGTACTTTCATAAATGGAAACAAGAGAAGATTGTGTTCTGCTTTGTCTAGATTTCAAGGCAATGAGTTAGTTAGAATGTTTTTTTTAATACCACATTTACTAATAGAAGGAGAAGATCTTCCTGACATAAACTCCTCTTAATTACCAAGAGCCTATTTCAAGCCCTACTGAAATCAGCAAGATATTCTGTTACCTTCAACAGACTTTAAAATGGTTTCTACATCCAAGATATTCTTTTTTCCTTCTCCAAATGCCTTACAAAAAAAAAAAAAAAATTACTGTTCTGACACAAGTCCCATTTCAAAAGGCCATGGACTGTATACAGAACTTTTACGCAAGCCATCTGGACTTATTCATGTTAACACGTTTTTTTGTTGAACTGAGGCCAATTACTCCAGGCAAACCCACAAGACTAAGTGGCACTGCCTTAGACTAAGAATTTGATCCATATTTTGGATAAAATATAATTTGAGAGTTCAACCTGTACTCTAGACATAGCATAAAAGCAACAGAACAATCATTTTCTCTGTCTCCCTCTCTGTAATTTAAATGAAAATGTTAAAAAATGTTTTCTTTACAACATTTTTAAAAATCATTTAATTATCTTAATATAATAAGGAAATACATAGCCATAGTGGCTAATCAGACTCATGAGAAAATAAAACAACTTAAAGGAAGTATTTTAACAAGTAGATTTGAAAATCTTTTAAGAAAACTTCAATAAAAAAGATATAAATGTAGTTCAAGCCCAAATTAAAATAGGAAAATCATGCAGTGGTTAAATTGCCATAATACATGTTGTTGCTCTTCACTCTTCTTCATTTGGTTTTTTTTTTTTTAAGAAATAATTTCCTGAATTTTTGCTTGTTTGTCATTACTATTGCAGCAAGCTTAGAATTTCGTCCCTTTAACTGCATTTTAATAGCAATGTATTATAGCATGATTTATCAACATATGGCAGGTGGAAGCTGACACAAATTATAATGAAAATTAAAACAGTCATTTATGCAGCAGGCGATTATCATTTAAGAAACATTTATTTGCAGGCTTTAAAAATGAGACTTTAGAATCAAATGGGTTTAAAATGAAAGTTTTAATGACTGTTACCTTTTTCCTGCAGCCACTCCTCTACAGGCCGGTTATATTTGAAGGGGATTTTCTGTTTTACCATTTGGAACCGTTCACTATCAGTGTTGCCTTTAAAGTTTAAAAAACAGCTTAAAAACAATCTGTAAAGTCAATGAAATAGTTAAAACATCCTAGATTTTTTGGTTTTTTTATGACCTTATTTAGCTATAGATAAATAAGTGCGCATGTATGTACATATATATATGTGTATATATACATATTTGAAAAGAGAGAGATTTATCTTTAGTAGAGTGGAGAATAGTTATACATCCAATTGCCTGAGGTTCTGGAAGGTCAAAGAAACTAAAGCCTACAAAAAAAGATAACTCAGATTCTCCTCAGAGTATTTGTTTATCCAAATTGGTTAGAAGGCATGTGCAATTTGTCTGCAATGTGAGACCTTGAGTGAACTCAGTGCCATGATTTAAAACATTTTGATCAGACTCTGGATCAGATGTCATATGGACATGGCACAATATATCAGTCACATAAGCACACAGTAGTAATTTGAATAACATTCTTGCACTGGTAAAAGACCAGTGTTAGGACTAGAAACCCAGTAAATAGAAAAAAAAAAAGAAAGGAAGAAAATATAAGAAATCGATGACAAAGTATCTAATAGAATTAGTTTAAAAAAAAATCCAAACACCTAAGAATGGAAAGATAAACAGGAAAAAAGAGAAATAAAATTTGACAAGAGGAAGAACTGTTAATTAAGGATACATGAAAATTCTGTTCAGTTACCAAAGACTTGGGCCTCTTGCCAGAATAAAACAAACACTTAGAAACTAATTTAAATAAAAGCAGAAATAATTAGCCAAAGTGTAAATTCTGGCAATTATAGTTCCATTGTTCCATGCTGATGGATAATAGAATCATCCATTAAACTGTGCTTTGGTGGAAAGCTCCTATTACTTGCACAGCACAGAGAGGAGCAGGATTCACACAAAGCCTCTGTCCAAATTCCCTAGCTACTGGAAAACTGAACAGGTCAGATGGAACCTCTATTAGAAAGGAGCAGTTCAATTTGATGGTGTTAGGAATGACAGTGAACAAGTGCCATCATTCTGTTTTTTCATTTTCTTTAGCTAGAGTCACTTTCTGATTAATTCTAACTTTTGCTTTAAGTATTATTTCTACAAAAACTCTTCAGACAGGCATAAGAGAAGTGCTTTTTTTACATGCAACATTATAATATTGTAGAAAAAGGATTAAGCCCACAACTTACTGAAGTAATGCTACCATAAGCAGAAGCTCAGTATATCAGTTGTGCTCCAGTATGTGTTTTGAATAAATGGTGGTTGAAGTCAGCAACTGCCCTGCAGAATTTGCAGTATTGCCCTTAAAGTCCCATGTATAAATATCCTAATGGGGCTTCATATTTATTTGGCTTTCTGAAACAGAAGCTGTAATCTTTTTCCAGTGTAAAGAGACACCAATGGAAAAAAGCATAACTAAAAACTAAATAATATGAGTCCAGCCAGTCAAGAGCAGACACTGTCATACTGAAAGGAATATGACTGGTGAATCTCACGTGTTTGATCATCCTTATTGAAGCTCCAAAATGCTGCCAGTCTGTTTGAGGTACTTGCTGACCAGAGCTGGGCTCTCCAGCAGCACCTTGAACTGCTGACTTTCTGCTGCACATGAGAAGCACTATAGGAACACACCAGATACAGTCCCACAAGGATTCATATGAACTAATCTTAATTTGTAAAAATCATCATCTATATCACTGTAAGCTCAGCTGTAAGGAAAACAGCAATTTTGCATTTGGGCTAATATCTCCAACTATAGCGATGCACATTTAGGAGCCTTGCTGCTTATTTGGGGTACACAGTAAAAAAGTAAAAGTATTTAAGAACAACTTTATGGCCCAATTACTTCCTAATTTCCTGAAAAGCCAGATAACTTTTTACTTTCCATATTATATATTCATTGTGAAAAATTGCTATTTGCCATTGTAGAAATATCTAATTAAGCACCAGCTGACACAAATTATTGCTCCAGTTTCTTTGTTGCACCTCAGATGCCTGACGTATACAGTTGGTAACTCAGATAAACTAGAAGGAAAAGGTAAAATTGAAAACACTCAGTTATCTGTCAAGTTATATTTAACAATGTACTGTGGTGACTTGGAGTCATTCACAGTCATGAAGTTACATTTAAGCAAATTCTTAGTTCTCCTAATTCATATCAGCACCACCAAAAAGTCAATTCTATACTTCTATGAATACATGTTCCTAAACAGAAAATTTGAACCATGTTCAATCCAGGAACCAAGAAAAAACTGATAAAGAGGAGCTGAGTTAATATAAACAAAAACAAAGAGAAAACTCTATCTAAAGCTAAAGAGATGGTAATATTAACAAAACAATTATATTTGATCTGTTTATTAATAATAAACTGAAATGTCAGCTTCCTTTCTTGCAAATTTTGCCATTCATTTAAGCATAGGTGCAGCTTACAGGACATGGAAGCAGATCCATTGGTTTGGGGAAAACAAATAAAATAAAGCCAAGCTCACTACAAAAACAATTTATTTTTTAAGATCAGTTATCAAGACATTCAGCTTAGGCCTTTTCTCAACACATTAATCCATGCCCACCAAAACAGACAAATTGCATAAATGCAATCATAAAAATTCTGGATCGCCTTTAGGATTATATTTTAGTGCCTAATATTTTTTTTTTGCATGTAGGGAAAGAGCACTGTGTTCTGAAAAATCCTCAGGAGGCACTTTAATGGTACTTAAAGACCTAAATTTCTCTCTCAACTCAGACTTGAACCTTTAAAAAGAGGCTGCTACTCCATCTATATTTCATGTGATAGAGATAGACACAGTTTTGATAGAAATGGGGGTTATTCCCCATTTTATAGAGTACATTCTGAGCTAGAAATACTAGTTAAATTTGTTGATATTATCATGTTGATGGGCAGGCACATTTTCTATAGCCCCAAAGAAATTCTATAACACCATTTACAAGCAAAAAGAAACTCCACTGTCTTCATATCGGTATGCACGTAGAAAAGTAACCTTTTACTGGTGGCAATGAGATCTTTTTCAGAATGAAGACAGTTCAGAGGAACACTAGAGTCAGCCAGGGGCTGACATGGAGTTCTTCTTCCTCTGTGTGAAAGGCTGACTGCAGAAAAGAAAAAAACGTGGTGAATTGAAATTCCTCAGAAACAGGGTGTCTGACAAGAGCAGGACAAGACTGAGGTAAAAGAAGGAAGTGGGACAATCAAAAAGACATGATGATGAAAAATGGGTTTCTTATAGTTCTAGACCTTCAAGAAAGCCAGAAATGACAACTATTCCCCACCACATCTTTAAAAACTTTTTTTTAATCGAGTTTAATTTAATTTTATTATGTTATTATTATGCAGATCTATTGAGCAAGATTAAAATACGTAAAAAATTATACCTTTAAAAGTGATGAAAAATTGGAGGGCATTAGAAAATTCAAATAGGTTTATATTGCAACATTAGTACCTGATCTATTATCTGTTGGTTTGTTTTTAAATTTTATTTCAGACATAACTAAGAATGATTTTTAAAAACATGTGCATGAGAATGTGTTCACTCCTGTACTCCATTACAATAGTGAGATAAAGAATAACTTTTTCATTGTTAAGTGCTTAGAATAGCCATTAAATAGAACCAATAGAACCACACAATTACTAAATTAATACTGACTTGGAGTTGTGCTTTAAAAACTAAACACAACATTTGATATGAGAGCTTGAAAAGGAAATATCATGGTTTGCAACACGAAGTAACATAAGTTTGGCATGAAGAGAGCTTTTTGAACTTCTGACAGCTGAGGCATGATGTGATTAAAGGTGTTTCTCATACTCCTTCATTCACAGAAATTTTCATTAACCATCCTTTTGTGACCTCAATGTAATTTCTTTCTATAGCTGAATGATTCACACAAACAACCCTTTCATGTAACTAATGCAGATTCTCTCTTTTTTTTCTTTTGAGTCCAGCTTTGATTCCAAGCTGTTCTTCAGAAAAGAATACACAGGATAGAGTGATTTAAATTTTCAGAAAATACTCCTAATCAGATAATTCTTCTGCATTCAGAATCAATGTGGGTCTCAAAGGTTGCAGGACATAGATTTTAATAGTAACATTTTGTTGATTAGTTTTGCTACTTGTGATTTACTAAATATTTTCCTCCTACAGTTTCTAGCTGCTTAAGTGATTCAAGGACCAATAGGAATGACTCATTTTAAATAAATTTCCTCTTTTTTCCTTCAATGTAATAAATTCCTGTATGTCAATATGACTTAGAGCTGCTTAACAACTTAGCTTCTTATAAAGAACTGTGCTTCATAAACACATTATTTTACCTATTTTTATTCCTTTTTCATGTAAAAATTCTAAAGCCAACTGTGAATACTAGGATTAAAAGAAGTCTTTTGTCCCATTTAGGACTTATATGTACAATTAAAGAAATTCTGCTGCATGTCCTAAGTTTTTCAACAAACTGGTAAGCAATCAGACTTTTGTGACCAGGAGGATTTTAACAGTAATATCTTGAAATCTTCTAGATTCTTGAATCTCATTTAACCAGAATACTCTAAATATTTCAAATACCATGGACATTGCTAAGGACCAAATACTTTGGAAAGGAATATGGCAGAAGTGTCTATATTTTTTTTGTTTTTTTGGTTTGTCCCTCTTTTTCCAAAGGAAATGTGTAATCCAGTAATAAAAATAATAGCCTACTGGTGAAATATGATCGGTTGACAGCATTCTGTCTTTTTTTCTGAAGTCCTCAGTATCCCTGCACTACAGACTACACTGATAAATAGATCAGATTCACTTTGAACTTTAGCTTTTGATAATCTTCAATTTAGATAAAACTAAAATGGGAAAAAAATCAAAATTATTTGCTTGTGCCAATCACTACTGGCAGTTTGCACAGGAAATACTTTTTATGCAGTGTGAGAGTCCAAGGGACACAGTTTAAATTTGCTCATGGGCAAAGCAGAATTTTCTTCCAAAACCTTTCAGTGCTGGAAGATATTATTCTTTTCTGCTGCTCCTTTAAGAA